CTTCTGAATAATTGGGTTTTTTTTTTTCTCTCCTTCAAGATCAACCCAGCCAGTTTGGTGCGCTTTGGGAAGAAATTGCAGCCAGACTTCTCTGCTGCAAATTCTGCCAAGTTTCGAGCTCCTCGGTAACAAAATGTCAAGGAACACATGCCCCGAACTGCACTTGGGAAGCTTTCTCCCCGAGCGGCCGGGCTGCACGGGCTGCTCACGCTGCCTCCGGGAGCCCGGCTCTGCTCTATTTCCATCCAATGAGAAGGAATATTGCTCACTCATTGGCAGTTTGGGGAAAAAAAGCAATGCCTCTCTCAAAGTGCGCTATGGGCTTGGCTCGTAGCTTGCCTGCTGGGAAATGTACCTAATTTCCAGAGAAGACATGCTGTACTGTCAGGCTGTCAAACTGGCAAAGCCGAGCGGTATGTACGGCTTTCATTTCAGGCTGAATTGAAGCCATAGCTTAAACCGGGGCATTTTTTACAGCATGGGCTCAAAGAAAATCTCTCTGGAAGAGTATTTACCCTGGGCTTGTAAATACAACACTACTTCTGCAACGTTATATCACCTAGATTGTTATTAAACTTGCACGATTGGGTGCCAGGAATAACATAACGATTGTACTTGCACTTGTTTTTTTTTTTTCTTTTTATTGTCGATGTGGCAGGGAAAACTCGATTCCTTGAAAAAAAACGCTGAGGAGGGGAGGCTGGAAGGGTTCTCGCCCAGCTCCACAGCATGTGGTTTTCAGCTCGGTGTGGGAAAGAAATGCCTGGGACTCCTGGTGCCCAGAGCAGAGCGCGCTGACAGAGAGATAAAGTGCTCTTGGACACTCGTGATGCTTCAGCCACTTGCTCTGTAAACAGACTTGACATTAAAAGAAATGGCAATCATTGCGCCCATTTGGCTCTCCATGGCTGGCGTTGCCGTCCGCTCTGTGGCTCAAGAGGGATTTTCCTGCCATTTTTCCATCTTTCCATGACTCTTGCACGCATACCTTTTTTCAGCTCTGCTCCTTGCATGTGTGCCTAAGGCAATAATTAAGCCCTGTGGCCGTGGTGCTATGGGCAATTAACACCCAGCTTTAGCAGTCCAGCCCATAATCGCCCTCCAAAGGCGCGCCATGTCCGCTCTTATCAAGTGCCTTAAATCAGCTCATATGGTGGTCACCCAGCCTTAGGGGCCTGTGTTGCCTGTGGTGTTTCCCTGGAGCCGGTAGGACACTTCTGCTTCAAAAACCCCTTTAATGGAAATGTTTCTTCATGCAGAGGAGTCTTCTGGAAGCGACTCTGGCTGCTGGCTTTCACAACCAGAGCTTTTTTTATTACTATTATTTCCAAGTTTTTCTTCTTATAAACAATTTCTTATCCTTTCTTTCAGGCAATTAACGCCTGGCTTTAGCAGTCCGGCCCATAATCGCCCTCCAAAGGCGGGCCATGCCTGCTCTTATCAGCTGCCTTAAATCAGTTCATACGCCGGGGTCACCCAGCCTTGGGGGCCTGTGTTGCCTGTGGTGTTTCCCTGGAGCCGGTAGGACACTTCTGCTTCAAAAACCCCTTTAATGGAAATGTTTCTTCATGCAGAGGAGTCTTCTGGAAGCGACTCTGGCTGCTGGCTTTCACAACCAGAGCTTTTTTTATTACTATTATTTCCAAGTTTTTCTTCTTATAAACAATTTCTTATCCTTTCTTTCATACTATATGTCTGCCTTGGATCTGTTTGTGCTTCCAAAATAAATAACTGCAAAGCAAAGAGGAACTGGCCCCTGCTTGCTGTTTGCTATGTGGCAAGCGTGTTCCTTGCCGTGAGCTCCCTCCCCTCCTTCCCCTGCTCAGCGCCCTCTCTACCTGCAGGACGGGAGGAGCGAGTGCCTTGGATGCTGCATTCCTGGGGGCTGCTCCTTGCCCGCTGCTGTGGCTACTCAGTGTTGTGGCAGTAGGGATCCACGTTTCTCTGTGAACGCCGCGTTTCATGGAGGGTCTCGCAGGCACCACGTGAGCCCGTTTGGACTCACCTCCTCTCCTTGCAGCTCAGTTTTCCCTGGTGCCCGTGCAAACCCTCGCAGTTTGTGTTTTCTCTGCCCGTGGTCATAGCCCAGATCACGTGAAACTCAGGCCTTGGCTGAGCAGGAGAGCGGCTGAGCCTGGGCCGGTGCTCCAGCCCTTCCTCGCAACCATTGTGCAATTGGTGAAGCAGCTCCGGGCTTTAGGATGCTCCGGAGGGATCTCCTCAGCTTCCCCTTGTGTCACCTGTGCTTGGGGGCTGCAGTTTAGCGGGAAGCTCTGCTCCCTGTGCTACACACAGGCTGCTTTCCAACACACGGCAGTGAGACCTGCCTTCACCGAGAGGGCAGAGGCTCCGGGATAAACGAAGGCAGAGGCTTATGAGATGCATCGACTGTTAGTGACGGGGAAAAGCAGCCCCAGGGCCTGCGTAGCTGTGGCCAGAGTGAGTCCCTCGTGGTCCTTCCTGATGCTGCACCCCAAAGCGAACGCCCAGCTCGTGACGGCGCTGCAAGGCAAGGGATCACTGCTGGCCAAAGCCGAGATACGTCGGCTGAGCAACGCAGGGAAGCTTGTGCAGGGTTTGGTCATAGCTGTGTTTCCAGACTACTGCTTTTAGAAGTCCCTTTAGAGCAGAAAATAAGGCCAAAAGGATGCAGAGGGGTAAAAAATGGATTTAAATCTGCGTTCATAACAGTACTGGCAGCTGGAGTGGCGACGGGCTGACCTCCCCCAGCCGCATCTCGGCCTCCTTCGGGCTTTGTCCGGGTGTGACGGTGCGGGATGGGGTGGATAGCTGCGTCTGCAGCCGACAGGGATCACCGCCACGCGTGGGTCTGGGCCTGCGGATAAACCCCTCTCAGAGCTGGAGGGCACTCACACCCAGGGATTTGGCTCGTTTTGCTCTATTTCTGCTGAAGACAGAGTGTAAATGTGCCCTGTGCCATGCCTCCATGTGAAAAAAATCTGAAATTGTGATTCACCTTGCTCCCCGTTTCTGTTTCCTTATTTCCTTAAAGCTTATTCAGCTCTATAAATCCCCAGCCTAACGAGGATCCTGTTGCAGGAGAAGTGGAAGGCAGCACTTTAGTTCAGCCCCAGGCTTGTTTATAGGGCTTGAGCAGTAGATCTGTAGAGTAGCTTCCAGCAGGTGCACCAATTTGGGTAGATTTCCTTCCCTCATTCCCACTGAGTGGCAGAAATGGATTTGCACCACGACAGTGCCATAAGAGACCCTTAGATTTCCCTCCCACATCTGAGGATGGGAATGGGCAGATGCTGCAGAGCTGGCTGGTTTGGTAAAGCATGCAGCAAACCAGAGCCCATGGCAAAAGAAAGAGCAGTGAGACTGTTTTCTCTCTTTATTTTTATTTTTTTCCAGTGCGATAAAACCAGAGTATTTTCCGTTTCTGGTTCTGTGCGTTTTGATTTTGAGTGGTGTTATTGATCTCCCAAGCAAACTCTTTATGTTTTTAAAGCAAAATGTTCAAACGTAAAAACATTCAAGGCGCTCTGATAAGCAGTGCCCACAAGGAGACTATATTTGGGACTGGCCATGGTGACAACGCGGTGCCAGCGGGGATGAAGCGAGAGCTGCTGGGGGCTCTGCCATGGGTGCAGGAGGGGGTTGCAGGGTGGAGAGCACCCGTGGCGCTACTTTGAGGAGGAATCCTCCGCGTTTGGCGGCAGAGCAAGGTTGCTTTTGGCAGGAGGTGCTTTGGATGCCGGGCTGCTGAGCCGTGCTGCTCTGTCCAGCCCCAGCCGTGCCAGGCATTTAGCAGCACTGGGCTCCGAGCTGGCTGCACACCCGTCCGTGGGCTCGCGGTGGAGCTTTGGCTGGAGCGGCGCGGGACAGGACGCGGGGGGCAAGTGTGGCCGCAGCTGCGGGCACGGGGAAAGTGGGGATCGAGCCGGTGTGTCCGTACGCCGCGGTGAAGCTTTGCCTCTCTTGCCCCGCAGGCCCAGCGACCGTGGCGGAGGACGGGGCTCAAACACCCGCCGGCAGCAGCGCTCGCCCTCCTGCTGGGCCCGGCCCGGCGGGGG